TGCGTACAAAGTAGCACTCCCGAACTGGAACCTCATGAATAGTTACTAGCAGACGAACAGGAAAAGCACCCAAGCGGCTTACACTCCTAGCAATCAGTCTCTATCAACATAAAGTAAATCTCCCCAAATACGAGACAGAGCTCCGTGTTGGGGGTCAAGCAGTGGTCTGGTTTATTGAGGGCTATCTGCCCAGTATTTATGCAGGTCTCCCAGCTGGTGGACACTCCCCTAGGGGACCAAATGGGAGACTGTGACAAAGGACAGACATGAACCAATGACAGACACACAGAGGTAAAACATCCCCACAATGCATCCTAATTTCCCTCCCTCTGTCCTGGAGATAATTGGGAAGTAATCCAATTATCTCCCAGGACAGAGGCAAAACTCAATTAACCACATGGCAGTAAAAGACATAAAAATGTATAAAGTTCCAACTGTTGCACAAAACATATACATTCTACCTATCCCCAGATAGCTTATGTTAAGACACCTCCAGTGTCTTTAGGCAAAACCGCCGTTTAGTAGACCTTCCCCGTCTGCAATAACAGTAACTCCGTTATGCAGGGGAAGCGGCAAACCAAATGCAGGGGAAGCGGCAATCTCCCGACCGGGATCCGTGAACGGCTCCAAACTCCCGAACGGCAATACACAAACTGCTGCTAGCCGCCGAACAACAATATCCACCAAGCGGCTTTCGTTTCCATCCAGCAGTCTCTAAACGTGAAGAAGAAATCCCCCCAATAACGAGACAGAAGCTCCGCATTGAGGGTCAAACAGGATCTGGCTTTACTGTGGGCTACCTGCCGTATTTATGCAGGTCTCCCACTTGGTGGACACTCCCCTAGGGGACCAAATGGGAGACTTAAATGACAGACAGATATGGGGACATTCCAGACACACAGTCACAGATTTTACCCACAGTGCATTATGATTCCCTCCCCTCTGCCCTGGAGATAATTACCAAGTAACTCAATTATCTCCCGGGCAGAGCCAGTCGCCATTTTAAATATAAAATCATAAAAGACATAAAAATGCATAACTTTAAAATAACCGAACATTTCCCATTTGTATCACATATCCCCAGATAGCCTGGATCTGAGTGCATATTATTAGCGAATAGCGCTCAGATCCCACACACATAGTTCAATCGCCATGGAGTCAAAGTTCTTACAGTCTTTCGGTATACGAATGACTCCATGGGAAGGCTATCTGGGTTAAGTCTTTTCGTATGCTCCAAACCTCCCGAACGGCTGGTATTCGTATGCTTTCGTGGAGACAGCCAGGCGTTCCGTTGTTTCAGCGGTGTTCGGCAGAAAAAGTGTCCGTTTTAGTTCCATAGAAATAGAGCCAAACACCGCTGGGCTTTCGCGTGGTTTAAAATGGCCGCTGCTTCGTGGTCGACAAACGAACGACGACCACCCTGAATTCGGTTTAATTGAGAAGTGTCTGCGGTTAACCACAACGTTCTAATTGGGATCAATAGGTTAACCAGCAGCACACTTCTCTCTTGGGTGGCCGTCCGTTCGGCAGGTTTGTTCGGGAAAAACAGTCATTCGAATGGCTGGGCTATAGAAAACAGCCATTCATACGAACAGGATAAAACAGACGAATACACCCCAAAGACAAGCAGACAGATGGTTCTGCCACAGCTTAGATCTGAGCACACATTATTACCGGATGGAGCTCAGATCACATACATACAGTTCATTTGCCATGGAACTAAAGTCTTTCCCATAGTTTTTCGTTACACGAATAGGCTCCATGGCATGGCTATCTGGGGTAATGCTGTTCATACGGTTAAACTACCGAATGAACAGTCATCCGGTTAAATGACCGAATGCAGAAGCAAGACATGGGTGCCATAGTCCGAGGGCAACAGGCGAGCAACCAGGCTTCTCCAATGCTTCGTGGCGAGGTTGGTTTCGCCACATAGTCCACCTCAGCACACCATAACTGCTGCTATAAACCGGTCTCTTGGTTTTCCAGTAATCCAAAGCAATTATTAGCAAGCAGTTTTTTTTTTGTTTGTTTTTTTAATATTCTGCTATTTCAGACGTGATGAGATATTGATTACATTTAAGATTGTAAGCCAACAGTTTAAATTAAAATCTGTTGCTTTGTTATAAAATGTTGGGGCCATTTGTCTGTTAAGGAGCGTTTTTCATCCAGTTATCTGTTGTCTGTTCCAGTTGACAGTTAATAAAGACCAGAAGCTGCTCCATCAGTTGGGATTTTCAGATGAGCAAGCTCTGACTGTGAAGACGCTGGGAGGAGGCACGCCAGCGGAAACCTCAGCCAGCAGTAGCAGTAGTGCCACGTTCAACTCCTCCTATGTTATGGAACAGGTAGGCACCAGGGTGGCGTGAATGTTCTTTTTGGTCAGTTGATCAGGTCTGTAAGAACAATAAAGTTTTTAATTGTGCAATTTGCAGGAAAAATCCCTCCCTGGTGTGGTGATGGCTCTGGTCTGCAATGTATTCGATATGTTGTACCAGCTTGCCAACCTGGAGGAACCAAGGTAAGGAACTGTGTTTTGCATGTAAGTTAAAGGACTTTGTTCTCTGTGACCAATAAAATATATTTCCATTTGATGGATGGTGTGAATGGTCGATCCCTCTCACAGCTTGGACTGCTGTCCTCATTTACTTTACTGTATGCCGGTCAAAATAGAGCTAAAAAAAAGAGGCTCCTGCTTAATATAAGACCCCTTCCATGTGCTTCCATGGCCCCCATTATCAGAGAGGCTTCTGCTTAATATAATACACTGACACTCCCACCCCCTCCGCACTGTGCTTCCATGGCCCCCGTTATCTGAGAGGCTTCTGCTTAATATAATACACTGACACTCCCACCCCCTCCGCACTGTGCTTCCATGGCCCCCGTTATCAGAGAGGCTTCTGCTTAATATAATACTGACACTCCCACCCCCTCCGCACTGTGTTTCCATGGCCCCCGTTATCATAGAGGCCTCTGCTTAATATAATACACTGACACCCCCACCCCCTCCGCACTGTGCTTCCATGGCCCCCGTTATCATAGAGGCTTCTGCTTAATATAATACACTGACACTCCCACCCCCTCCGCACTGTGCTTCCATGGCCCCCATTAGCAGAGAGGCTTCTGCTTAATATAATACACTGACACTCCCACCCCCTCTCCGCACTGTTCTTCCATGGCCCCCATTATCATAGAGGCTTCTGCTTAATATAATTGTGACGAGACCAATCTCGGCACATTGCATTGGAGAAGCCTGGTTCTCGCCTGCTGCCTTTGGACTATGGCCCCCTGTTAAAAGACATCTTTTTTTACCTGCAGAAAAGCTTCATCCGTGCTTTTCTGCCTGGGGTTCGGTAGATTTGTTTGAATGTGTTATACCCCAGATAGGAATCCCATGGAGCCCATTCGTATGAAACTGACTGTAAAGACTTTGGCTCCATGGAGATTAAACTGTATTTGTGTGGTCTGAGCGCCATTCGCTTAATAATGTGCGCTCAGACCTGAGCTATCTGGGGATATGTTACATGTCTGTGTTTTATGTAATAAATGTTACTTTATGTATTTTAAAGTATAATACTGGTTTTGTGTCCCCACATGTGTAATGGAGTTTTGCCTTTGTCTTGGGAGATAATTGAGTTACTTCTCAATTATCTCCCAGGGCAGAGGGGAGGAAGCCAGGATGCATTGTGGGAATATATTGTGACTGTGTGTCCTATTTGTCTGCTTGTCTGTCTTTTGTCACAGTCTCCCATTTGGTCCCCTAGGGGAGTGTCCACCAGGTGGGAGACCTGCATAAATACTGGGCAGGTAGCCCTCATTAAACAGACCACTGCTTGACCCTCAACACGGAGCCTTGTCTCGTCTTTGGGGGGATTTACTGTATGCTGCTAAGGACTGATTGCCAGGAGTGTAAGCCGCTTGGGAGCTTTTCCTGTTAGTCTGGTAGCAGCAATTCGTATGGTTCCTGTTCGTGTATTTGGAGTGCTACCTTATTCCCTTGTATGCCGTTTGGGAGTTTGGAGCATTCACTTGTATGCAGTTCGAGCGTTTGGAGCATTCACTTGTATGGCGTTCGGGAGTTTGGAGCATTCACTTGTATTCCGTTCGTGAGTTTTGGTGATTCTACAGTAGCTGTGCCTGTCTCTGAAAGGGGATTATTGTCTAAGCGTTTTTTTTTTTTCCTTTTGTGCAAAACGGTCCGTTACAATTGGTGGCAAGCGGCGGGATCGTTCCCACAGACTACAGGACAGCTACAGGCGACACCATTCCGTGGATTTTTACAATTTGAGGGCAACGCATGTCCCAGTGCAGCGACCCTGACAGCACCGAGATGGAATCAGCAGTGGAGTATGACGAGGGTGCCATGGATGACCGAGATGCAGTCCGTAAAGGCATCTGGTACCAGGCACTGGGTATTGTGGAGTACCAGCGGGGCAAGAGACTCCCCAAGGAAGACCAGCGACTGCAGAAGCGAGTAGCCCTGCGGATGCCCTTTCTGGGAGAGCAGCCCCTGGATGAATGGGTGAAGGAATTGGAGCTCCGAGTATGGCAGGAGATTTGGCTGGAAGATGCCTACCAGGCGCTCTGGTGGTATGGGGCACAGTACCTGCCCTGGGCAGCCGAGCATGACAAGCCAGAGGGAGAGGAGTTTGATGGTCCTGGCTTGTTATGGGAGTCATTTTCAGAGCTCGAATTTGGGAGCCCTACACAAGCCCGGTTCAGTGATCTCTTGGAGTGGAGGGAGAGCAGGTATGACTGGGACGACACTCACAAAATTGAGCAAGACCTGGTCCACCTGGTGACCCGGGAGATGGAGCTAGAACAGGGCTACCAGCAGCTGTTCCAATACAGTGAGAAGGCACAGCAGGAGAGCAGCATGACAGACCCAGAGCCAGACCCATTCAGAGGGGACGAGATGGTACAGTTTTACTGGGAAGAACCCCAGGTGGCCGATGGAGATGGGACCGAGGTCTCTCCACCGGTCCTGCAGGGAATTGGGAGCCCAGTCTCCATTCCCCAGCGGCAGTATGATGTTTAAAGTGCAGGGAGAGGAGAGCAGCCTTCTCCCTCCCCAGCGGCAGGCTGAGTTACAGGGGGCAGAGGTAGTTGTTCCTGCCCTCCAGCAGCAGAGTGATATGCCGGGAAGGCAGTGTAAAGTGCAGGGAGAGGAGAGCAGCGTCCTCCCTCCCCAGCAGCAGGCTGAGTTACAGAGGGCAGAGGTAGTTGTTCCTGCCCCCCAGCAGCAGAGTGATATGCCGGGAAGGCAGTGTGAAGTCCAGGGAGAGGAGAGCAGTGTCCTCCCTCCCCAGCGGCAGCGTGATTTTTTGGGAATTGGGAGCCCAGTCTCCATTCCCCAGCGGCAGTATGATGTTTTGGGAATTGGGAGCCCAGTCTCCATTCCCCAGCGGCAGCGCAGATTATTGGGAATTGGGAGCCCCGTCTCCATTCCCCAGCGGCAGAGTGTCCTACCGGGAATAGAGAGCCCAGTCTCCTTTTCCCAGCAGCAGGACTCTGTATTGGGAGCAGAGACAGTCGGTCTCCCTCCCCCGCAGCTGGAAGTATGTATGGGAGAGGAGCTTGTTACCCCCTCTCCCCAGCGGCAGCTTAATTTACCCGGGGGAGACAGTAAGCCCCACAACTGTGCAGATGGGACCGTAGTCTCTACACTGCCAGCACAGGGGGTAGGGACGGTCGGTTCTGCCCCCCAGCGACAGGGCTGTTTAGCCAAAGGGGAGACAGTCGGTCTCCCCCTCCAGCAGCAGAGATGGGTAACCAAAGGGGAGACAGTCAGTCTCCAGCAGCAGAGCGGTGTATTTAAAGGGGAGACAGTCTGGTCTCTGCCCACGCAGCACCCCACCAAGTCAGCGTACCCGTACCCAGCACAGCCGTGGTGAGGCACCTGGACATGGACAAGCTTCTTCTCTACCCAGGTGCAGTAACCATTTATTGTGGGTGGGCTGTGCTGTTGATTATGTTTTGTGGGTGGGCTGCTGGACTAACAAGGGCACTGACCGGCAGGAGGTCAGATACCGTTAGTCTGTTTGGAAAAGGGGAGAGATGTGACGAGACCAATCTCGCCACATTGCATTGGAGAAGCCTGGTTGCTTTCGCCTGCTGCGCTGGATATGGCCCCTTTTAAAAGACTTTTATTTTTACTTTGCAGAAAGCTGTATTAGATGCTTTTCTGGCGGTTGTCCGTGATTTCAATCTACCGAACAACCGTACGAATGACTGGACCACCTGGGAGCTGGAGTGTGCCGGCAATTAACCTCCCTGAAGCTACGGTTAACCGCAGCTTAATTGATGAACGCTGGGTGGCCGCCGTTCGTATCCCGAACACGAGGTCGCGGCCATTTTAAACCATACGAATGAACAGCGGTGTTCGCCTCTATTTTCATGGAACTAAATCGGACACAGTTTTGCGCGAACACCGCTGAAGCCGCCGACCTCCCTTCTTGTTCGGTGAAAGCACACGAATGACCCGGTGTTCGGTATTTTTGTGTGAATGTCTTATACCCCCGATAGGAATCCCATGGAGCCCATTCGTATGAAACTGACTGTAAAGACTTTGGCTCCATGGCGATTGAACTGTATTCGTGTAGTCTGAGTGCCATTCACCCAATAATGTGCACTCAGACCTGAGCTATCTGGGGATGTGTTACATGCCTGTGTTTAATGTAGTAAATGTTACTTTATGTATTTTTCAGAAGTATAATACTGGTTTTATTATTACATGTAATGGAGTTTGCCTTTGTCTTGGGAGATAGTGAGTTTACTTCCCAATTATCTCCCAAGGCCTTGAGGAAGCAAGGTTATTGTGGGAAATACTGTGACTGTGTGTCTATTTGTCTGCTTGTCTGTCCCTTGTCACAGTCTCCATTTGGTCCCCCTAGGGGAGTGTCCACCAGGTGGGGAGACCTGCATAAATATACTGGGCAGGTAGCCCTCATTAAACGAACCTGCTTGACCCTCAACCGCGGGCCTTGTGCATAGAGTCTTTGAGGGGTTTACTGTATGCTGCTGAGGGTTCGTTGCCGGGGTATGGCAGCTTGGGAGCTTTCCTGTTGTCTGGTGGCGGCAATTCATATAGTTCCTATTCGTGTATTTGGAGTGCTACCTTATTCCCTTGTATGCCCGTTCGGGGAGTTTGGAGCATTCACTTGTATTCAGTTCGTGAGTTTTGGTGATTCTACAGTAGCTGTGCCTGTCTCTGAAAGGGGATTATCGTCTAAGCAGTTTTTTTCCCTTTTGTGCAAAACGGTCCGTTACAATTGGTGGCAAGCGGCGGGATCGTTCCCACAGACTACAGGACAGCTACAGGCGACACCATTCCGTGGATTTTTACAATTTGAGGGCAACGCATGTCCCAGTGCAGCGACCCTGACAGCACCGAGATGGAATCAGCAGTGGAGTATGACGAGGGTGCCATGGATGACCGAGATGCAGTCCGTAAAGGCATCTGGTACCAGGCACTGGGTATTGTGGAGTACCAGCGGGGCAAGAGACTCCCCAAGGAAGACC